AATAATAACTAAATAAGACTAAATGATAATAATAAAATAAATAATAAAATAATAATAATAATAATTATACAATATCGAAATAATAATCTAATAAAATAATAAACGGTTCTATAACAATAGGTTTAGATATAGATTTTAAAATGTGATTTAACTGGCAAATCAGTAAAATTTATTGTAACAATTTTAAAATTATAGCGCAAGCATAGACATCTATACAATAATAAATAAGCTTTTTGACATCCCGAAATTAAAAACAAATTGCTTAGCCCTCCATATGCTTTATTTATAATAATAAATAAATGCTTTACATTTTTAATTTTTAACTATAATTTTATATTAATAAAATTATACTAGACTTTGGCAATAAATAACTGCCTTATGTTTATACTTTAATTTTACTTTGATAACAGAATTAAGGGTAATCAGTATGTTCACAGATTATTAAATGTTCGAGAGTGCTTTGTTTCATGAATTTGGTGGAAGCTCAATGTGTTCGGGTAAAAAAATTATAAAAAAAAGCCTCATCATTTTCTTTAATAAAACTATCAGTCTGGAAAGATTGCTGGCAAATAAAGGTAAAAAGTTAGTTGAGGCTGCTTTTGGCTTCTGCAAAGGTAATTTTAGGTTCTTTATTTACTTGATCATCAGACCTATTATCATTAACAATTAGGTTTTTAACCAATTCTATAATTCGTTCATCATCCAAAGCTTCTTCAATCTCAATAGACTCATCATTGTCAAGATAGTCTTGGGTAAGTTGTCGAAGGTGGGAATCTTCAGTTAGGTCAATAACTTCTTGGGCCTCATGTTGAGTTGTAATAATTTCAGAAATTTGAATGATTTGAGCTTTAAGGTCATCATTAGGCACTGGTTCCAATTCTGGGAAAATTTTAACAAGATGTTGGCTAGGTAAAATTCCAGTATGCTGCCAACAATTTTTTAAAATTTCTGTACTTATGGTGTTTCATATAGCTTTCACTAACTGTATTGCCTAAAGATAAACAAAACAAAATTAATAATGATTAATTTATTCTCTTATCCATTCTTACAAACTGGGTGTTTTGAAAGTCCCTAGATAAGATCTTTTTGTTAATTATTTTGATTACAGAAATTGTATATTTTTTATTAGTAAAAAAGATCTATCTAAAAACTTTTATCTTATTAAAAATATATAATTTAGTAATTGTGGCAGATTATAATGAAATCCAGATCAAAATGAAATTATAATATAAAATCTTGCAAAATAAAATTTTTCGGGATGCATTTTTTAGGAATAGGGATTAGAGTTAGGGGTTAGTTTTAAAGTAAAGTTATAATAAACAAGTATAAGTGGGTTTTAGAAGGTTAACAGGTTGAGTAGAAAATATAGATTTCATTTTAAATTATGATCCACAACAGTAATTAACAAAAGGTTTTATCTAGGAAATTTCAAACACCCAATATTATTAATAATTATAGTACTGCTTATCATAACTAATTATTATTTATTAAAATTACAAATGTGATCTAAGTAATATAAAATTGATAATGTTAATTAATAATCACTAACTCAACTTGAAGTATATCTATTTTGCTTGGTTTCTCAACATCTCTATCAAAATCACGAATTACTTGGTTAATATAAAGACATTTATAATGTAATTTAAAGGCATTAATAATTCTAGCATCCATCAGCTGTAGATAAGCAGTCATATTGGGGGAGAGAAAATGCATACAGATATTTGGGTAATCACCAAGATTATCAACATTATGGGAAGTGGCATTATCCACAAGTAATAAAATTTTTCGATCTTGAATTCAGAATATAGTCTGAAGATTGTTAAGAAATTTCTAAAAAAAAAAAATAAATAAATAAAAAAAATCAATAATGACTAGTAATTCTAAAATAAAACAAATATCAAACAACAATATAGAACCTTAAAAATATCTTGATGCATCCATGCCTTTTCATTATAATAATAATCAACAGGAAGTTGGTTATGCGATGTAATTTCTTCATGATGAAATGCAAATAGCATACGTGACTTGTTGATAATCAGAGACTTGATTTTTTTAGTACCATCTGCATTGAACATGCAAACAACGGTAATTCTCAACTTATTTTTTTTTTACCCTTTCGCGCAGATATTAGAAGTGAAGTATTAGGTTTCATACAATAAAACAGACCACATTCATTTGTATTAAAAATGTCTCAGGGTTCATATAACTTTAAGAGATCTTTTAGCTCTTTACGAAATTGGGGCAAAAATTCTATCGGGGCACTCTCTGCTTCTCTATAAATTCGATGATTTCGGATTTCTATTCTAGCCTTGAATTGTAAAAACCAAATCCAGATGCTTTAAAATCACTCTCTGGAACTCCTAACAATGCTGCAAACTCAAGAACCTTTTGGCGAATTACTTCTCCTATAAGAATAAGTTGCCTTTGCTCAGCAGTACCAATCTACATTTCAAAGGCTTGTTCAATCTGAGGAAATTTAAAACCAGTTGTTTTAAATACATTTGCATTTTTTGAAACTTCACGTACATCAGACCATTGTTTTTGCTTCAAGATCTTTGATACTGTGCTTCGATCGTACTGAAATTTTGCAGCAATTTCCTTATTTCGTAGATTAGGATTTTCTTTTTTTTTTTCTTGGATTTGTTTTTTTTGTATGGCCGTAAGTCTGATACGGCTTTTACTGATTAATTTTTTTTTTTTATCATTAGGCATTGTAAATTTTTAATGAATAAGTTGCATTCAATTATACTGTAAATATTAAAAAAAAAAATTACAGCCCAGTGGTATAAAAAAAAAAAAAAGCGATTCTTATTGCTAAGTTTAATAAAAAAAAAGCAACTATGGTTAGGGGACGGAATGGGCTGGGTCAGGCCGGGCTTACATGGACCCAAAACTGAACCCAAAAAATATTTACAAGCCCAAGCCTGACCTATTAAAAAAAAAAGCCCGTAAGTATAGGCTGGGCCAGGTTTTAATTTCAAACTATGCCCGGCCCAAGCCTGGCCCATTGTAATGGTAAAAAATAGTACTAGGCTGATATGTACCCAAAATCAAAACTAGTGATGTGC